ATCATCAGGGAATTGTCCGGCCGCCCTGTTTAGGGTGACCCGCTCCCTGCTCCATCCGGGAGTGCGGGAGGATCCCTTGGAAGGCAGGGCGGAGGATTTTGGACAATACCTGTATGACAAAATTGCTCAGATCCGGGGGGATTTGGACTCTGACTGGGTAGATCAGGGCAGAGTGACGAGGAATAGTCTTGAGAATGTTATCTGGGAGGAGTTTGACGCTGTGACTCCCGATGATGTGGACAGGATTTTGGGGAGACTTAGTGCGGCCACATGTTTACTGGACCCGTGTCCCTCCTGGTTGGTACTGGCTTCCCGGGAGGTTACACGAGGCTGGCTCCAGGGTGTTATCAACGCTTCGCTGAGTGAGGGCCACTTCCCCGCTGCCTTGAAAGAGGCAGTGGTGAGGCCTCTCCTCAAGAAGCCGTCCCTGGATCTGGCAATATTGGCCAACTACCGTCCTGTCTCCAATCTTCGCTTCATGGCGAAGGTTGTTGAGAGTGTGGTCGCGCGACAGTTCCCATAATTCCTGGAGGAAACATCTTATCTAGATCCGTTCCAGTCGGGTTTCAGGTCTGGGCACAGCACGGAAACGGCATTGGTCGCGTTGGTTGATGATCTCTGGAGGGCTCGGGACAGGGGCTGCTCCTCTGTTCTGGTCCTGTTAGATCTCTCAGCGGCTTTTGATACCATCGACCATGGTATCATGCTGCACTGGCTGGAAGAGTTGGGGGTGGGAGGCACCATGTTGTGGTGGTTCTCCTCCTTTCTCTCCGACCGGTCGCAGTTTGTGTTGGCAGGGGGTCAGAGGTCGACCTCGAGGCCTCTCATCTGTGGAGTGCCACAGGGATCGGTCCTCTCGCCCCTCTGTTCAACATTTATGTAAAGCCGCTGGGCGAGATCATCCATGGCTTCGGGGTGAGACACCACCAGTACGCTGATGACACCCAGCTGTACATCTCCACCCCAGGCCACCCCAATGATGCCCTTGAAGTGATGTCTCAGTGCCTGGAGGCCGTGCGGATCTGGATGGGGAGGAACAGGCTCAAACTCAACCCTTCCAAGACTGAGTGGCTGTGGCTCCCGGCATCCCGATATAGTCAGTTGACTCCATCACTGACTATTGGGGGAGAGTCTTTGGCCCCCACAGAAAGGGCTCGCAATCTGGGAGTTCTCCTGGATATGCAGCTGTCTTTGGAGGAACATCTGACAGCTGTAACTAGGGGGACCTTTTGTCAGGTTCGCCTGATTCGCCAGTTGCGGCCCTTTCTTGATCGGGATTCCCTGTGCACAGTCACTCATGCCCTCGTCACCTCTCGCCTTGACTACTGCAACGCTCTCTACATGAGGCTCCCCTTGAAGAGCACCCGGAGGCTCCAACTGGTCCAGAATGCAGCAGCGCGGGTAGTGATGGGAGCAGCATAGCGCTCCCGTGTAACACCGCTCCTGCGCGAGCTGCACTGGCTCCCAGTGGTCTTCCGGGTGTGCTTCAAGGTGTTGGTTATCACCTTTAAAGCGCTCCATGGCATCGGGCCTAGCTATCTTCAAGACCACCTGCTGCTACCGATGACCTCCCATCGTCCCGTGCGCTCCCACAGAGAGGGCCTCCTCAGGGTGCCACCAGCCAATCAATGTAGGCTGGTGACTCCCAGGGGGAGGGCCTTCTCTGTGGGGGCACCTACCCTCTGGAATCAGTTGCCCCCAGAGATAAGGAGAATCCAAGACCTTAGTGCCTTCCGCCGTGCCCTTAAAACCCACTTTTTCCAGCAAGCCGGGCTGGCTTAAGAAGAAATTTTAAATGTTTTAATTGGTTTGTATTTTTAATTTGGGGCCAAATTTATATATATTTTAATTGTTTTTAATATTTGTATTTCATGTTTTTTAATTCTGGCTGTACACCGCCCTGAGTCCTCAGGGAGAAGGGCGGTATATAAATTTAAAAATAAAATAAAAATAAAATAAAAATAATGGCAATACAAATCTATTAAATTTGGCTCTAAGCAGTATTTAGTACTTTGCTGGGAGGAAAAAATAGCCTTAGTTGTTGTTGTTGTGTCTATAGTACCATTGAATAGTCCAGAATAGTTATTTGGACTATTTCAGGCTGCTTCATTTTTCCACAAATCAAATGAGTCACTAGGGTTAGGGTAGTCACTAGGATCTCAGTTAGGAAATTATTATCTATCTATATTATCTTTAATTCTCCCTGGTAGTCAGCATTCACTCTTCTGCAATAGGTTTATTCCATTTAATAACATTCAAAAATGTGGATTATCCGCCCATGAGTTTGCACTTCCAGGGTCAGCCTTCTTGACAGACAAATATATTTTGGTATGATTGTAACAAAATAATTGCCCGAACTATTTCCATTTGTTGATAAATTCAGTTGAATTTCCCTCACCATTTTTTCACTTTACTTCACATCCATTCATTTATTTAATTGATCCACCATGCTTCTGCAAGTTTCCATTCAAAACTATAATCTCAGTTGCTATATACATTAATAATTTGATCTGTGTTTTTTGATATACAGTTAGTAAAAATATGCAGATGCAAGCCCTATGGGATGGCTTTCTTCATTTGTAGAAATGAAGGGCTTTGCTGTCTCTTTATAAAATATTTATTCAGGATCCCCAGTTAGGACTTGGCAATAAATTAGAGATCTCTTGATATTTTCCAACCTAGCTTTGTTCCTTGACTAAATGTAGCAGAAGTCCTATCAATACAGCTTGGGTAGAGAAGAATCTGTAGCTCATACAAATTGAAAAAAGCAGTTGATTATCCTTTGCCAGGTCCACAACACTTGTGATGCAAATGGCTATTCTATCCCTCATTCCTTTTCACACTCAATACAGCATTAAGGTGAGTATTTTTTTGTTTCTTTTACCTTGTAAGGAACTCCTGCCATTTCCAAACTTCCCCTTTCTGAAGGTAAAGGGAAGGGGAATGTTTCTATCTTTTTTGCATCATTCGGAATCCTGCTTTCTCTTTCAGTAACACTTTACTCCTCACTTTCCAGAGTACAGCAGCAGAAACGAGGAACATTACACTTTCTTCTACTTTATCAGGAATGTTCTCCAATTCAGTATTCTCAATCTTGACTGCAATGTTTGTATTTTTCTTCTTAGTGATGCAGTCACTCAGTCAGAATTATGGCAGGTGTAGAAGCTGAATTATAGACCAATCTGATAGTTTGGGCTTCTGAAAATATTGCAAATGAAACTATTACAGGCGGTGTGTATACCACTGTCATTTCCCAAAAATGTTTTGTGCCCAGGTAGCCTTTCAATGAATTAAATATTCATTGCACAAGCTACTAATACCTGCTTGGGCAGGGGTTTGGACTAGATGACCTACAAGGTCCCTTCCAACTCTGTTAATCTGTTAAATCTGTTAAGAGAATCCAAAACACACTTTATTTTAAATAATTCTTCCCTTTACCTGGGACAAAGATGTAAAATAGGCAAGGATGTTCTAGTTTTAAAGGATGGCAAGGAGGGTGTTCTAAGAAGGAATAATGGAAAACAGTCTGGAAGTGGCAGATGAAAGGCAACAGGATTGATTTGTAGTATCGCAGGAATAGTGCAATAAAGTTAACATCCAGTTTTTTAGATGGAAAAACTCCAACAACAATCTTGATAATGAAAGTCAAACAGTCTTAATTAATTACTGAATTAATTACTGAATAGACTAAAATTCCAGAACTTCAGTTATTTCTTAGACAACACTTTTTACACCATCAGAGTGCCTTGTTTCACCAGAAGATGCTTCTGCAAATGACGCATAAAGCAACTGGAGCATTGCAACATGAAGAACCATGTCTGCTTCCATGGTCTCTTAACAATAGCACTTTTGGTCAGCTGATTTATGTCCACCCCACTTGTGGGTACTGAAACAGCAGCAAACTAAACTGTTGTTTAAGACCGTCTGACTTCATTTCCCATTAGAGGAAATTGTTGCTTCAGTCGTCCTTTCACCTCTTGAGCTACAAGTGCTGGAAGGGAAGTATTAGTCTGAGGGCTTTGCAACCTTGATTCAATAGACCAGATCAAACAAGTGAAAATGAAAATGTTAAAGAATTTGTCAGTTTCCCTATCTTCTTTAATGCTGCATAGCTGACATAAAAGTACCAGGTTGCCTGTGTTTCATTTTTGTATGGGATCAGTAAAGGAGATTTTTAAAATTTAATTCATATGTATTATTTACAGGGCAAGTTCTTATTCTCAATCATCATTTCAAATCTGCAGAAGTGAAGACAATTGCAGATCACCTTCAAGCTGTTTCTGAGGGTTTGAGAAGTGAGAATGATGGTACTATAAAGAATTTACAACTCTTTATAAAACACAGTAAAAATTTTTTAAAAGTATGACTCTTAGAAATAATAATAAGTTGACAGTGTTAGAGCAAAATGCCTTCCTAGAAGTACCAAAAATTGTTCATTCATAAAATGGAAAGGAAAATGAGATTACTTAATTTACAGTTAATTCCATCAAAATAGAATTTCCTCCTGAAAAGGTACATTTAAAATGGGGGTTTAAATGTGAAATAAGTCTGTGATGCATACTTTAGAATCAAAGATAAAGACAGAACTTGCTCTCACCCAACCATATAACATAATTTGGCATTTAGAGTTATCTTTCTACAGCTGTAGAGAGAAAAAATAGTACAACTCTGATTCTGAACATTCCTTCTATAGAAAGTTCTTCATGGGAGATATAATGGAAGCATGTCTAACAATCTATTAGTGTTTTTCCTTGCTTTATTGATTGTTCCTGTTGCACATAGTCCAGAATTACTTTGTTTGCCTTGGGCAGCCCAATCAATCAATCAATCAATCAATCAAATAAAATAAATGAATAAATGTTTTCATACTAAAATGGATTGCCACATTCATCTATCACCTGAGATGCATTTGACGCCAACATCCAAGTAGCTATAAAAATAAGGGGGGGGGGATAAGAAGTAACACTCATTCCACCAATCTAGCCCATTGCTCAGCTATATAAAATACAACTTTAGTTGATTTATTTGAAATAAAGAAAACATATGTTTGATTGAAGTGCAAATTCATTTAATTTGCCTTCATTTCACATTGATATTATGATGATGCATACCAGGTGGTTTCCTCTGGGATTTTAGGAGAAAAGAAACACATGAATACATACTGACAAAACACCAGGATGTTCAGCATATTTTAATCTGTAATATAGAACATATAACAATATAAATTATTTTGCATTTTATTATACGGTATATTTATATTAGTATTCATTTATAATATATTAGTATATTAAATAATATAATGGATATATCAAGTAATGTAATTAATTTATTTAATTGTATTTTTATTCATTACATAGCTTATTATATTGTGTAAGTAACCGCAATTAATCACCAATTATATTAAGATTGGATCATTGGACAGTTTAATAGATTCCAGGTATTTTAGATTACATTCCTATTTACTATTGGCCATTTTGTCCAGGACAAGTGGAAGCTGAAATCAAGTGTTTGGAGAGCACTCATTCAGATTACGAACTCCTAATTTATATATTGACATGCATACTGCACAGATTAGGCTATGGTACCTTAAACTTTGTGCTATGATCCAATGCATACTTACTTACAAGGCTTTATGGCTCCCCCATCAGTCCACTGAGTATACTGTATTTGGTTTGAAGCAGGCACTTAATTTTTCTTTTCCTGCTCCCCTCTCCTGCCACTCCAGCCTTTCAAGTAGTTTCTTTTAAGACTGTGAGAATTATCAACTGGGATTTAAAAAATAAATCAGCATCGGATTTCAAAGTCAAGGAAATCATAACATCATCATCACTACAAGAATATAAAAACTTTTAAGAGTTTCCATTTGGAACCATGATGTTGAACAAGAATAAGCCTAATTGTATTGTTTAAAAATATGAAAAGATTAATAGCATTATTAAAGTTTATTAAGATATTAACATAATATTTTATAATATATGATTTAATGCATTAAATATATTGAATATACAATTAAGAAATTGATATACAATTTATTGATATATTTTAAAACATGCATCTCTCACTCAGTTGATTATAGATCCGGGGGAAAGGAAAGGTGGGAAGGTGATTATCAGTGAGCAGGATCATTTCTGTTCACCTGCTAGTTCCTCACTACCTGTTTCCATCATTTGGAGGTTCAGAGGCTTCTTGCTTCTAGTCTTTGGACCCAAAATTGAACTTAATTATACCACTGGCAGGTAAACTATTAAATTTCTAACTTGTTCCTTGGCCATACTAATTTATCTGGTTCTTGATTATTCAAGCATCTCTTTAAAAGTTAGTACTTGATTTGTGATTCATAGCATAGGAACAAAGATGAAATATGTGCATCTTAATATTTTATTTATTTATTAAACTTATATAGTGGCCCATCTCTCCCACAAAGGTCTCTGAGTGGCATATAACACTAAATAAAACAGCCAATATAAAACAGGCAAACATCTAAATGCCACAGTAATAAACAACATAAATACAAATATACTTATCATGGGACAAAGGGAAGAAAAAAAAAAGGTCCTCTCAGCAATGAAGCCATTGGGACAAATATCTGGTTCCCTGGCAGTTCTAGGCCTAGCAGTATAACAAGGTCTTGAGGGCTTTATGAAAAATCAAAAGGGATAAAATTAGTTGCTTATCAAAGTTTTATATTAGAACAGAAGTACAAAATGTGTGGTCTTAGGGATCTGTTTATTCCACAAAACAACAACAATAATAATAATAGCCTTGTCATTGTACATCATGTATACAACAAAATTGGTTTAGCATCTACTGGTGCAATTGATAACAGAAAATACAAGACAATACAGTTCCCAATTTATACAAGTAATTGCGGAAAGAAAAAACTAGTCATATGTTTCCATATGTACGTGGAGTGATTGTGATTGTGTTTAGGAGTCTGACAGCCCATGGGTAGAAGCTATTTTTAAACCTGTTTCAGCTGGCTATACTTCGATGCCTTCTGCCCAATGGTAAAAGTGAAAAGAGACACTGGCCAGGGTGCAAATCATCCCTAAGTATCTTCCTTACTCTGCTGAAACAGCGAGACCTGGCAATGTCATCCAGTGGTGTTAGAGGGCAACCATTGGTTTCTTGTGCTGAATTGATCATTCTCTGTAGTGCCTTCCTGTCTGCAGCTGTTAAACCAGCGTACCATACTATTATATGTGAGGACACTTTCTATCGTGGACCGTTAGAAAGAAGTCATCAGCTGTTGTTCCACCTGATTTTTCCGCAGGACTCTTAAGGAAATGTAGTCTCTGTTGGGCCTTACTAACCACCAGGGACATGGAACTCCCCAGAATCCCCTCTCCCAATGAGTTTATAATTCTAATGTGAGAGAACAAAAACTACTCAGTGTAGGACTGGGGAAAAATCCTGTTAAGTATATTTAATCTAATTCAGCTCAGCTAATTTAAATGGAAACGAAAGCCATTTGACTTTTTTTGTCTTCCACCTGTTTTTTTAGAATATAGCCCCAGGACCTCTCACAAAAGCGAACCATTTGGGCTTAGAAAAACTGTGCAGCTGTCCTGTCTTGGAAACTCTTGTGTGGTTGTAGAGGATTTAAAAGCTGATTAGACTTATTGGCCTACCTCTATGGAAAGGAAGATTGTTCCTTATTTAACAAAATGTATTGAAAATGGCTTAGAATAAAGTGACAAAAACCTCAGAACCTGGATTGTTTTCCCTTTAGAATCCAGTTGATCTGAGATTTCTGGGATGGAGATTTTCTCAATCTGATGTGAACTGCTGAGGCAGCTATTTTAAGAAAAAAAAAATTCACGTGAGAAATAACCAAGTGGTTAGGATGTTAATCCCTTTCTGGCTTTTAAGATACCATTTCAGTAATTCTCAAGTACTGTGTTTATTTGGAGTCTTGGATCATTGTTCTTCATACCAGCATATCCTACATTCAAAGTTGACATGTGGTTTGTAGGAGTAGCAAGAGCTATAGTGAGAAGAACAATGAAGCAAAATAGAAGACACCATATAGCAGTGATGGCTAACCTTTTGGCCGTCGTGTGCCAAAAGCGGGGGGAACGCATGTGTGTGCCCACACTCATAATTCAATGCGCCCCACCCCACCCCGTGCCTGCACGTGCACCCCCCCCGCACTCCCACCGCTTTTGGCAGGCAATGGCATGGTGGGCCTGGTAGGCCTGTTTTTCACTCTCCCCAGCCTCCAGAAGCTTTCTAGGAGACTGGGGAGGGTGAAAACGGCCTTCCCCCTGCCCCCTGGAGGCCCTCTGGAGGCCAGAAACAGCCCGTTTCCCAACTTCTGGTGGGCCTGGAAGGCCCGAAAATCAGCTGGCTGGCACGCGCATGTACGCTGGAGCTGAGCTAGGGCAATGCTCGCGTGCCCACAGATATGGCTCCGTGTGCCACCTCTGGCACACGTGCCATAGGTTAGCTATCACGGCCATATAGCAATAGCATTTAGACTTATATACCGCTTCACAGTGCTTTACAGCTCTCTCTAAGCGGTTTAGAGTCAGACTATTGCCCCCAACAATCTGGGTCCTCATTTTACCAACCTCAGAAAGATGGAAGGTTGAGTCAACCACATGGCTCCAGGATTTTTTTTTGGGTGGGGGGAGCTTCTTTTTAAGTAGATGTAAGAGGTTTCATTGAATTTTATGTAAATTGAAGTCTATGCCCTCACCTATTCCCTACAGCTATATATGATATCAACCATATGTTATACTTTTAATAATCAGCCTAATATCTTTCTTTTCCACAAATTTTAGAGGAGAAGCATATTATAATATTTCATTTTGATATGTAGGAGCTTACAGATACCTTTTTAGGTATATGTTAATAGTTTACTAACAGTAGTAACATTAGTAAAAAAGAAAGCTTATAAAAATATTCAAAATAGTATGCATCAAAGACTTTAGACTAGCTATAAAATTTAATTCAAAAAAACAACAGAAAAAAAGAATTGATTTATTGGTTTTCTTGGCAGTTGGTCTTTCATCCCCTCTACTGCCTGCCATTGGCCTAGTATAATTATTGTCCCTCCCATCTGTCTTCTTATTTTTCTCAAACAAATTTTCTAAGTCGTAGTGTTGTAATGGTTTAAAAGCAAAATGGATTTCAACTCAAGAAGCATACAGTAGAAAACAAACAGCAGACAAATGGTTGACATATTGGGAATTATTGGAAAAACATCGAGGGAAATTTAAAATTAAATCAAGAGAGCAGTTAATAGACAGATGTAAGATGTCAATTCCCATTAGAGTTATTAAAAGAGTCTAAACAGTCAAAAAGATTCATGGTATGGAACAAAATAAGACAGAATTTTAAGTAAAATTGTGAACTGATGATGGACACATTTTTGCTAAAATGTCTAAATCTTGTGGAATTTGAAACTGAGAGCAAGAATTTGAAACTGAAGAGCAAGTTAAAGAATGTATGATAAAATGGGCTATGGATTTTAGTTATAATATACAGATGAACCAATGAAAAAATATGTGGTTAAAATTTAAATTGTGATCTTAAACAGAATTTCTATAAAATGATGCATTGTTGCTACATGATGCACAGAGATGGAAAGATTCAACAGTACCCTCTATAGAAGAATGGTAAGTGAAATTGACAAATTTGAAATTTGCTGAAATGGATAAATTAACTTCTTTAATGAGAGAAAAGACACTCTACTGTGACTGGAAATGTTGAATGGATTTTCTGAGAAAAAATAAATAAAATGAACTTATGATTTATGGTTTTGATGATTAGATAGGATAGATTAGAGAAAGCAAAGTATTATGATTTAACTTTAGAAAGAAAACTTAAAATATAATTGTGCTTATAACTGCTGTAAAGAATATCAAATGTCACTTCGTGGTTTTTTATTTTTCAACTTTTTTTCTTTTATTGCACTTTTTGCTTTGCTTTTGCTTTTTTCTTTCTTACTTAGTTTGCATTAGCTTTCATCTTTTTTAAAACCTTCATTAAAAATGATATTTTTTAAAAAAAAAAATACAATGCTGCTGTTATCAGGTAACTGTGCTTGAGGGTATAGGTGAGGAAAAAAAGCACAAAAGGTGCATCTGCTAATATACTTTTCTCACTTTGGTGAAAAGGAAGAAGAAATCTGCCAGTTGCAGCATCCTTACAAGACGTTTAAGTGACAGTGGAGCCTGGCAAGCAACGTTTAAGTCCCAGAGAGCTCTGTTGTGTGAAGGGGGAAAAGTTAATATATCAATAGTGACTGATGCCTGGCCTGCTGTATATTGGAATGTGCAATATTCCTCTGCTCTGCTTTGATAGATATGTTCTTGTTATGTAATTCTACTACGCTTTCCTTTATGCATGCTTAGAATATCAAGCAAAGCATAAAGGAAATACATCCTTGGCAATTAACCTTTAAGTAACTGACAGCACCAATACTGCTTAGCCCAGTGATGGCTAACCTTTTCAGTAGTGAGTGCCGAAAACGCGGGCACACACCCATAATGCAATGCACGCCTGCCACCAGTGCGCCCTGCCCTCCGCGTATGCGCATGTGACTCCCCCGTGTGTGCTTTGCCCTTCCTGCGCATGCATGCACGGCCCTGTGTATGTGGTCCACCCCCATTCATGTGCAGCAGAGACTCAAAAACCAGCTGGCTGGTGGGAGGCGTGCGCGCATACGCAGCATAACTGAGCTGGGGCAACGGCTCACGTGCCTGCAGAGAGGGCTCTGGGTGCCACCTGTGGCATGCGTGCCATAGGTTCGCTATCATGGGCCTAGCCCTAGAACAATGTGACAGTATTTTTTAGAACAACTAATTCCTGCCCTCTGGACTGAATGGAAAATAATATCCAGGGCAGAAAAAAATTACTATAACTTCAGTGGAGCAATTTAAGAATTTAAGCAATTATCTC